TTTTACTTCAAATCTCACGAAATCATAAATGCAAAAGTATGGTTGACACCGGATCAGCTGTTTAAGAATTTATGACCAAATGGTTAAATCGTGTGAATGAATGTGGACAATATTTGTCACTTTACTGCTGTGCGCAAATGTGTGCCAAATCATTTGAATCTTTGGCAGCCAAATCGTCTGATCGCAAAACAAATCATTTGTACATCGCTATCCAAATGCGCAAATGCGGACAAATCTAAATTTGGCATGTTGTGTACAAATGTACAAATCGTGTGATCCCTGCTTAACGCGTTTATAACCGAGGTATACAAATCAGAGGTAAACAATGAAATACATTTTGAAGAAAACAGAATAGATTGGATATTAGACAGTGGGTGTACAGACCAAATTATTAATGATGATACAATTTTTGAAGAATGTATATTATTAGCTAAGCCGGTTGATGTAAAACTAGGAGATGGTCGAAAAATCAAGGCCACAAAATTAGGTAGTGTGAATACCATTTTCAAAGTTGATAAATATGAATATCACGTAAATTTAAATAATGTTTACTATAGTGGTATTCATCTAAACCGATAACTTTATCAAGCAGATAATCTTATAAGTTTATGCACTCTGTTACATGAACGACCCACACTCTCTTTTCGTTTACACATGCGAGAATAGTCGTGTTTTCTTTGGTTATAAAGCGCAGTGTAACTAACTTTATACTACTAGCACGGGGATAAAGAAATTATAGAAACTACCTCACTAAATTGGAAAAAAATATATTTACGAGATATCTATTTAAATAAATGTACATATAACATAAAGGCTATTTATTTGAAGCAAGTTATAAGAAACAATGGCAGAATGTCTGTTTGTGTATGAATTCATTTGTCACGGCTACCAAACTTTGCGAATTATCAGTGAAACAAAACAAACAGACGGGATAATAAATGAACCAGATCTCTATCAGGATCATATCGTTGTTGAATTTGCGTGCAAAATTTGTATGCGGATCCCGATTATTGCCTAAGAAAACATAGCTAGACTTGCGACAGAGTTGCATTGTCTTCAGTTTATCAAGTTTATTCAGTGAAATCGCTGGATAAATTTATCAGAAATGTGTAAACGAGTTTCTATACAAATTTTGACAGTCCATTTATAAGGTTTACACAATTATAAGTTTATACGGTTTACAATGCATTTATAAGGTTTGATGAATACCCTTTATGTTAGAGATATGAAGCAAAACTTATTAAGCTATGCTAGAGTTACCGTAAAAAATAAAATTGTATCATATGATCATACTTGTGAAATTTTTTAATCCCTTTGAGCGATTTATGGCGACGGCGCGAAAAGTTAACAATATTTATCGAATGACAAGTTTTACTAAAAGAAAATTAAATGAAGTAAACAGCGGTCAGCTACAAATTAAACAAATTACAGAAAAAGAGAAGTGGCATCGTACATTAGCCCCCTTATTCTAGAACCCGAATTTTCGTAATTCGTAATTCGTAGCTACGCTACGAAAAACGATAAAATCTACATGCTGCAACCCGTGCGGAAACATGTGCAGCATTGCCAGCTATCAGTTGCTTTTCGAAGATAGCTGAATGAAGGAAAACAAAGGGGAAAGGAATTAAAAAAAAAACACTCATCATGTGCTTATTTAGTGAAGAATTTAATTTAATTTTACATATTTTGAGGAAAATTATGGATTCTGATGTATTTGCAATTATAGCAGCAGAGTAAGCGGGCGCTATGGCAATGAATTCACAAAGGTATGAGGAGCTGTCGGGCATAGTAACCATGGGCGCA